TTCCTTAATAAACTTATAGTTTCATTCCAGTTTGCTGACAGAATTTTATCCTCCTGCAGTATATTTTTTATGCTTGGAAGTCTTTTATTGATCACCCTATCATACTCCTCTGCAGCTAAATCATTACATAAGTTAAAATTTGATTTTAAAAATTTCTTCTGACTATGAGGTTTTATATGGTGAATTTCTTCCAGATTGAGCTATCCCTGCAATAATTAGTAATCTATATTTGATCACAGCAACATACATGGATTACAAATTTTGATACACCTTACACATGAAAAGTAGAAACACATCTTTCAGATAGTGATTCCCATTTTTAATTAGTTTGCGTATCTGTGAGCAAATATTATTTCCTACTAGAATGAGAGTGTCCAACGTCAGTGCTAGTCCCTTTTCTGTTTCATTTGTGAGGATGTACAAGCACCACACTTGTGCATATCTCATAAGCATGCAGATGGGAATGGAAGTAGTTTGGTTCTATTGGGCAGCAGGGCTCTACTTTGAACTCTCAGTGATTTACCAAAAGTCACAAACTGATAAAATACCAAAAACGATTTAAGTGGCTTATCAGTTGACAAGTCAATTAGGTCTTCATCTGTTTTTTTTTTTTTTTGGAAAACAAAGAATTGAAAACCACTTGACTTGCAGAAGGATTTATTAACCAGTCATTTAAGGTCATTCCCTTTTCTCAATACCTACACTATATTTCCAATTGTTTCTTTGTTGCTTGTGACATCCCTGAGACAACACAGTAAAACTAGTAAATGGATGAAAAGTTGGCCTCTGTTATGAAGAGAAAGTGGGGAATTGGCAAAAGGAAAGATCTTGACTGCAGGCTAACTCTCACAGAAGTCTGTTTTATGACAAAACATGCCTTGAGGTTGACATCTGTGAAGTAGCCTTGCCAGTGAATCTCCTGAAAAACTTCATCTCCCCTCAGAGGTACGACCTACACAAGCTTGAGGGTCTCTGTGTCACATTAGTACCAAGCTCCTGAACAACTTTGAGATTTCTCCTACAAATGTTTCCATCATTTGGCCTTTAATTATAATCGGATAGTTAATAAGACTAGGAAACATTTGACAAAGGTCTTCTATAGAATTTGGTACCCATTTATCTGTCTCAGGAACCTCTGCGTACCTCATTTTCCCTGATTAAAAAATGGGGATTCTCATCATTCCAAAATATGGCATGTGTTGCACAGATTATTAAACAGCCTGAGACTTCTGATAGGAATTTCAAAGGGAATGTGCATTCTCAAACATGCAGCATTTTATCATAGAGTTTGTGTCTTCTGTTACTTTGAAAAGCATGGTTTTTTACAGGGCATGAGATTAGAAGGAAGTAAAAAACATAATGAAAAAAAAAGGGTGAGTTTGAGGGGAACTTTTAAAGAATTTCAACTGTATTTATTCCCTGTTCTCTTGTACCTCTTGCTGCTGGCCATGGTAACTGGGAACACCTTTCAAATGATAAAATCAGGTGGTAAGAAGACCAAAAGAAAACAGTACCCAAGGTCAGAAGTGTCCTCGCCTGGGCTGTCCTTGAAGCCGGTGGAATATTTCACACGCTAGATGAATCTTTTTTACAGCTTTCCTTTCTTTTCTCAAATAATCATTTCCAATGGCAATAATTGTGGCAAAATTATTGACCTTAGGTGTTTTAAGGAACTTAAGTATAATTGTAATCTACAACACCAAAGCTTACAAAGTCATAGATAAGGTTTAACTCAAGGATTTCAAGTAACCTAATTCTGCCTATCTGTAATTTGGTTGTCTATTTTTCTCTTGAATTATTTAAATAATCTACCATATTCTTTGACACTGGCTGGAAATATACAGGGTATAATGAGATTTGATTTTACCTTCTACAAGTAAACAAAAATATATAGAGATTCACATATAGTATCTTAGTATCTATTTATCTATTTAATATTCCTCTTCCTGGAAGGAAGTGTATGTAATTAAAAAAAAAAGTCAGAGTTTGGAGTGAGATCTGAGATTGCCCATGATTTTAGACAAGCTACTTAACTGAGCTTCTATTTACTTATCTAAGAAATGGTGATAACAGTTTTCCCCTCTGATATTATTCCATGTATATGAAAGACCTAGATGAATGCAAACAGTCAATATAAACACATATACTAAAAAATACAGCCCAATGAAAATAATTCTCTCTGCTCTACTCTATGGAGTTTAACTTTTGTAAGGAAAGGACAAAAAAGATTTTAAAAGTCCAATCTTACTTATGAAGGACCGTTCATGTCTTATCTTTAAGCATATGGTCTACTTATGCTTTTAATAATGAAACTAGGGGGAAAAATCAGTTCAGCTGAACACACAAATAATTTCATCAACATAGTACTTGCAGAGAAAGAATTCACTTCATGAAAATATCACAACACTGAATTTCACATAAATTCGCATGCAGATTGTAGAATTATTTTACAGAATGTTTTGATGGAATGTGTTAAATATAAGAATAATCCAATGCAATTTCCATTTAACACATTGTACAGAACTCATTCTTCAATAGAATTAATAAGTTTACAATCTTTCCCATAAGGTGCTATGTATTCAAAGTGCTCTGTAGCAATGAGGTTGAGATCAGCGAAAAAATACTGTAGAACTCCATTAATGCAGCTCAGTAATAAATGAAGTTGGATCTAATGTAGATGAAATCCACTCATAAAACAGAAGACAGATAACAGAGCTCTGTGATGTGCCTTGAGTGATGCTCGTCCTCAGCAGGGGTTGGGGCTGAAAGACTTCATACATACATCATTATTGTCACGATGAAAATGAGTTTAAAGTTGAGGTCATCACTTTTATAGTGAGTACCACCTCCCAGAGAAAAACAAAAAGAGAGACAGAAAGAGACGGATGGAGAGAGACAGAAAGTGTACACTTCTGCAATCCATTTTCTGCTGAGACTAATCCTCAAAATAATCAATAG